GAAAGGTGTCCAAGATGTCTTTCTTCCCCTCATCTTTCATGGATTGCATGAACCTGCCAGGGAAGGGTGCATTTGGGGGAACAAAGTTAGAAATAATTAAATTTGGAACAACCTTACTTGAATGGGGTGGTGTAGGAATATTGGGAGGTTGCGGCAAGGGTTGTTCTTCCCTTGCCGTGCCTTGTGCATCCTCCTCCTCTTCGAGCAGTAGCAATTCATCCATGGGCTCATCTTCAACCATTTGTTCTTGAATTTGTTCCATGCATTCTGCATTCTGCCTAAATTGACTGTTCCACTCAGCCAACTTTTTTGCTTGATAGAAATCCTCAATTGGTCGCCAAAATGCGTCTTGTTGAAATGGTTGAGCTTCCCTGCCCTGCTCCACAGAATTCAGTTGTTGAATAACTTCCTTATAATAATTTGATATACCTGAATTTGGATGTGAAGATTGAGGGGAAGGCTGTGGTGGTGCATATGAATCCTCATATGGTTGCCAATATGTTTCTTGGTGAGTCTCCTTAGCTTGATTTTGTGAACCCTGCACCAAAGAGTTTAATTCATTAAGAATTTGATTATAATCTATTGACGAACCTGAGTTTGGTTGGGCATATTGAATATGAGGTTGTGGTGGATGCATAGACGTTGAATAGAACTCCTTATAAGGCTGCCAATATCCTTCTTGTTGAATATGTTGAGGTTCCCACCATATAGAGTTTGAATGATCACTCCAATCGGAATTGTAAGTATTGGAAAACACGTCGTTCCTTGATTGATTATGATCAAATGTACCAACTCTTTGCGTTTGGTACTCTTCCATAAGCTGTGACAAAAGAGAAGCACTATCAAGTGCCATGTCTTGCTTCTAAAATCAATAAAACTAAAAATATATACACACAAACGAAAAATAAAACAATCCAAGAGATTAGCAAAGTTGCTAATCCCCGGCAACGGCGCCAAAATTTGGTGCGAGTTTTATACGCGCACAAATTAAACCCTCTTTAATTCCACATGCATTCACTTCATCATTACACCACCACTCATTCTTTAATTCCACATGCAATTCTTCATCATTCCTTCACACAAATGCTTAAACAAACATCCATATGTTCCCTCCACTCCTCCTATAAATACCCTTGCATTCCCATTCATTCAAATCATCTCATTCACAACACAACAACACACCACAAACACATTCCTTTCTCCCTTAGAATCCAAAAACCATCTTCCATTTCCACCAATCCTCATCCATTTCCATAATTCCCCAACACTTCCATCCCCCCAACCAACCTATCCTTAAACCTTGTGCTACAACAACGAGGAAGAGAAGAGTGCCTAAACGTTCATACAATTCAAGTTTTGAGTTGTTGGAATGTTTAGGTGTTTCTTTGATTTCAAAGTTTCATTTTAATTCTCTTTGTTTTGTACGTATGAGAAATGGAAGAAAAGAGTGCTTAAACGTTCATACAATTCAAGTTTTGAGTTGTTGGAATGTTTAGGTGTTTCTTTGATTTCAAAGTTATGAGGAACTAAACCCCCTTTAGCTAGGGGGTGATTCGAAACTATGTTTATGTTTGTAATATGATTTGATTACTTTTAATTACGTTTCATAAGTTATGAATTCAATTTGTTTAACTGTTTGATTGATAACCTATTTATGTATGTTTATTAAGAATGAACGCTTAATTTTCATGCATGAATTTGACGCTAGAATATAAGTGAGTTTCACGTAATAGTTATGAACTTATATTCACAAGTAGTGGAGGTTGCTTATAAACAATCGCGTTAAACATATTCTTGGCATAAGTTTCATGCAATCATAGTAACGAATGCCTCGTCAACACTTATAGTTTTCATGATGCTTAATGATTCTTGCTTGTATCTCTATTATGCAATTCATGTAGGGAACTTGTGAGGAATGCTTTGGATTGTCGTATGCAATCATCCAATTCATTAACTTAAGGAAAACTTGACGGTTAATTTAAGCGGACCTAATTAACCCGGGGCGTTGAGAATTCATGGTTTATTGAAAAGCAATTAGAAATCGATTTGTATGCAAGTATAACATGTGTGGAGATGAACCCCTTAGCTAGCTTTCCCATCCATTCATTTCCGTCAATTTCGTATTTACAATTTGTTTTCTTTGCAATCTATCCACTTTAGTTTAATCTCGTCCAAACCTAAATCCCCCCCCCCATATTTTGTTTAAGTTTTAGTCTTAATCTTTCTTACTTTTAGTTTTGCATTCTTCGAGTTTAGTATAGTGTTTTAAACTTGTTTTTACGTTTTTGAAGTCAAATCCAAGTGGTTAACAATCCCTCCTAATCCCCGGTCCAGAACGATCCCTACTTATACTTATACTACAATTGAAAAAAGAGGGTTTAATTTGCATACAAATCGATTTCTAATTGCTTTTCAATAAACCATGAATTCTCAACGCCCCGGGTTAATTAGGTCCGCTTAAATTAACCGTCAAGTTTTCCTTAAGTTAATGAATTGGATGATTGCATACGACAATCCAAAGCATTCCTCACAAGTTCCCTACATGAATTGCATAATAGAGATACAAGCAAGAATCATTAAGCATCATGAAAACTATAAGTGTTGACGAGGCATTCGTTACTATGATTGCATGAAACTTATGCCAAGAATATGTTTAACGCGATTGTTTATAAGCAACCTCCACTACTTGTGAATATAAGTTCATAACTATTACGTGAAACTCACTTATATTCTAGCGTCAAATTCATGCATGAAAATTAAGCGTTCATTCTTAATAAACATACATAAATAGGTTATCAATCAAACAGTTAAACAAATTGAATTCATAACTTATGAAACGTAATTAAAAGTAATCAAATCATATTACAAACATAAACATAGTTTCGAATCACCCCCTAGCTAAAGGGGGTTTAGTTCCTCATAACTTTGAAATCAAAGAAACACCTAAACATTCCAACAACTCAAAACTTGAATTGTATGAACGTTTAAGCACTCTTTTCTTCCATTTCTCATACGTACAAAACAAAGAGAATTAAAATGAAACTTTGAAATCAAAGAAACACCTAAACATTCCAACAACTCAAAACTTGAATTGTATGAACGTTTAGGCACTCTTCTCTTCCTCGTTGTTGTAGCACAAGGTTTAAGGATAGGTTGGTTGGGGGGATGGAAGTGTTGGGGAATTATGGAAATGGATGAGGATTGGTGGAAATGGAAGATGGTTTTTGGATTCTAAGGGAGAAAGGAATGTGTTTGTGGTGTGTTGTTGTGTTGTGAATGAGATGATCCTTGAATGAATGAATGCAAGGGTATTTATAGGAGGAGTGGAGATGTATATGGCTATTTGTTTAAGGTGTTTGTGGTTGCAATGATGAAGAATTGCATGTGGAAATAAAAGGGAAAATGTGGTGAAATGATGAAGTAGGAAGGTGGAAATGCATGTGAGATGTTGGAAGGGAAATGGGAATATGAGTAGGCCATGGCATGGGAGTTGTTTTGTTGGTGTAAATGTGCCATGGTTGCAATGATGAAGAATAAAGGGTGCATGTGGGGTGGAATTGAATGAATGCAAAGTGAATGAATAATGAAATGAGTTAAAGAGGGAGAATGTGGTGAAATGATGAAGTAGGAAGGTGGAAATGCATGTGACTTGTTTGTGGAATAAAGAATGAATGGTGGAATGATGAAGAGTTGCATAAAGAATGCATGTAGGGTTAGCTAGGTTGGCTTTGTTTGGGTGCATGTGTGTTAATGGTGGTTTTGCATGTGAATTGATGGATTGTTTTTGATGGAATGGATGGTTCTTTGCATGGCTTTTGAAGTGATTGTGGGCTTTGGAATTGGAAGGAAATGCATGGCCTTGGGGTTGGTTTAAGAGAGAATGGGCTAGGCCCTTTGTTTTATGTCCAAAATGAATACAAGGCCTTCAAATTCGTCCAACACTTTGGCTCCAATCATATGCTATCCATTCCAAGCCCAATTTTGCTCCAAAATGCTCCAAAATGCATCTTTTTGCTTCCTTAGCCATATGAACCTAAAAACACACGAAAATGGCTTAAACTACTAAAACAACTATGAATTAACAACATAGATGCACGAAAACAAGCTAAGTAAGTCGCCTAAATATGCTCCTATCACTACAACAATGGTAAACAGTTTGATCTTCATCTCGTTATAAAGCATTAAATATTTTTAGCGCAATCAGAAAATATTTAGCGACCATTTCAATGTCTAATTCATTTTTCAAATATTTTCTTTTTCTCTGGAATTATAAATAAATAAAAAATTACTGTTTAAATAATTAGTTATAATGGAAAAATTGTCAATTTATTAGCAAAATTTAGAGTTAAGAGGTTATGTCAAAGTGAACTAAAATTTAGTGTAATTTTTCAAATGTGAAGAAGTTTTGTGAAAACTTGATAAATTTTGAGATTATTAGTGTAATTACCCCAATTTAGATTAAAGAAACAATTCAAAATCAGGGCGATTCAAGATGGAAAATCAAACATCCACGCGTTGCATGCAAGCACATCTCGGGAACTTCCGGGTTTGGATTACTTGAGCAAGTTTCTTTCGAGGATTGACTTTTGACTTTAGCTCCAACTTCTGCAGGCACATCTCGGGAACTGGATTCCTTGAGTAAGTTTCCTTCGAGGATTGACTTTTGACTTTAGCTCCAACTTCTGCAGGTTTGATGTCACATTGTTATTCTTTTGTTTGATGTCACATTATTATTCTTTTAGAACTATAATACTGATAGTTATTCAATAAGTAAAAAAAAAATATAACCAGACAGTAATAATAGCGACAAACATTTATTATTAAGACAAACATTTATTATTAAAACATTTATAAAATGCATTCGAAGTCTAACACATTGTCAAAGCCTCCTTAATGAAAGTCCATCAAGGTGTGCATCACAAATGCAAAGACAAATCAAAGCAATGAAGGGTGGATTCAAACCAAGTGTTCGACTGTCGTGGTACTCGTAGGCGTCAAGCTGCCATCAAAGAATTATTTACAAGAATGGTACTTGTTCATAACAATGGTTTGCTTGATTCCTTCTACTTGCATTATTGTAACTACAATTCCTTTGGTGACGAAAGCATTGACACCCTAATTAAGGAAAAAAAAAAAAAAAAAAAAACCAAGAAACCTAGAGAATGTAATTTATTTTCTCACTTGTTACACAATTGGACAACCCCCACATAAAGAATTCCATCACCCTATGAACAAGAGAATCACAACTTATTGATCATCATGTACTCTTACGTTCAATCTTCTTAACCATATAGAATGGAGGATCATGTGAAAAACGTCGAATCGTTTTGGGGGAGAATTGACCTCAAAATGTCTCCTTACTTGTAACATTCTCCTCTGCATTCTCAGGTACCGTCTTGAGGATATGCTCGTTAGTATTTTCTTCAAATTGGGAATGTCACTCACCGAAACCTCGATGGAAAACGACTTCCAATTCAAAACATCACTGAAAGGTGGCACGTAATGGTCTGAGATGAGCACGGGGACACATCCGGCGTAAATTGCCTCTACTACCCTTGGGCTTGCAACTTCATACCCACTTGGGCAAAGGCAGAACCTGCTCTGTCTCATCATGTCGTAGTACGAAACCCCCTTTGGAAGGTACTGATGGACCCTCAAGTCTGGATCCTTGTTCTCCCAATGCTCTAGCAGAATAGGCCTAATAGGGCCATGAACCCCTCCAGCGAAGAAACCCAGGATCGAGCGTAGCCTTGGAGAAGGCCCGCCAATGAAGCCGTGCGTGTCACCTGTTTGAAGATTGATTTCGGGAAAGGACACATCCTTAGAGGGGTTGAACCCTTCTGAGGTATTTGCATTGCATAATGCACGGATTGAGTTTTTGCGAAGATGAGGATTGGAATTTGAAGTTTCGGGCCCCTGAAACAGAATCCAAGTAATCAAAATTAGAACACTGGCATTCATGAAATATGAGATTTTATTGCAATGTAGTAAACATAATAAAGTGGTTAGAGCACCATACCCAATCATGGCAAGCAAGCATAAAATGGTCAGCTCCAAGGCTTCGGTTCCAGTAGGGATATTTTTCAGAGACAATATTCACATAATCTCTCACTGTTCGTCTGATTGGACCGAAGTCATGTGAGTCGCGCACATAGACAAAACGGACCAACATTGTCACACTAAAGGGTAGAAAATAAACATGCGCTTTTTCTGGATCTCGAGTCCGAAATTGTTTATTCACCTCAATTTCATGAATAAAGTTCCCCTCCATGGAGTATATGCTCTTGCAAGGGCCATTATGAAACAACGGGGGTTCCCCTTCTCCATAAACGAAGACCTTGAACTTTTCTTCCATTTCCAAATAGCTCCTGCAAATTCAAATTGAGTTAACACATTCAAGACTAAAAAATAATAACGGTCATTCCATTGTATAATATATGTTACATATTTAAGTAGTAATAACATTGGTGAATGAATAACAAAATACCAAATTGACATTTTGAATGGTAACTTGCAAAACTAAATCTAATTCATTATAAATATAATTGAAGTCGGTACGTACCTGTGAAAGGCATTAGCATTCCAATACATTGGACCATTAGGAATGTAGTCGACGCCACGTGTTTGATTTCCAAATTTAGCGTCTCTTATTGCAGCTCGAGCTCTTCTAAGGCGGGCCTCCAGCCACCCTAAATTCGTTTTCTTTCTTTGTCGTCTTTCCATGATAGAAGCATGAGTTTCATTCATGAAGTCGTCTCCCCTTGTCACATTCTATATAAAAAATTAAATTAAAAAAAAAAAAATTTAATTGTCTTATTGACTAAGACGCAACCCTTAATCAATTAATAATCCAACTGTTCAAATTAAAACTCTGTAGGCGAATCAAAATTATTGCTGAGAGAAAGAGCAACATCGGATGACAAAGATTGAAAGCATCCATGTGACACGTTAATAAGATTGGAATATATGCCAATTACACACATATGGTCCATATTACCTGGGACAATATATAAATAGTAGAAACTAAAAAAGTAGATGCAAAAGCACAGAGAGATTAAGTACTTAAGTTAACTTTTTTACAACTTTATTCTCAATTACTTCATTCACCAAAAAACCAGAGGTGATGGGGAAAAAGGACATTAACTGTGACAGCAAGACATTTATTACATAATAATACCCATTGGAACTATATATTTTTTTTTCTCTCGATCATAATAAAAACGTGAAGTAAATTTAATAAAATTCTGATGTCAAAGATTACAGAACCATTAAACAAAATAAATAAATAAAATCCAGGTTCTTAATTTTTTTTCTGACAATTTTTTACAGAGCTTAATTAATTTTTCCCACCCAAAAATAAAAAACAATTAAATTAAAGCCAAAAGCATAAGAAAGATGGCAAGAACAAGCAATCAAATAAAAAAAAATTGCAAAAAAATTAAAGCATGAATTAAAGGAAAAGAAATTTTAACATGCATGATAAGGATGAAGGACTTACGGGTTGTTGAAGAGGTGGCAAAGCTGCTTCTTCTTCTTCTTCAACGGCGAGAGGAGGCGACGAGGATCGATTTTGTACCGAGTCATCGGAGTGAGCTTCTTCTATGTTGTGCATATCTACCACAACCACCGTCGATTGCAACCCCAAAAGGTCATCGTTTGAATCACTATTACCACTACTAGTACTAGTAGCAGTCAAATTTAAAGGCAAAGAAGCAGAGGGGGAAGTAAAAACCCAATTGGCGGTGTCCGGACCCAGCAAAGAAATCAACCCGAAAACCACAACCAGCGGAACCACAAACAGCAGAGCCGCAATCGACGAGGAGGACGACCACCATGCATGCTGATGAGTGCTGCCGGAACTACTAGTTGTACCCACCTTCTTACTACTTGCCGCCATCATCCGTAGAGCTGGATAGGTAGCTAGAGAGCTCTAGCCTTCTGTTTGTTTGCTGAGAAAAGTGGGAGAGATTTCGGGTGGTTTTAGAGAAAGAGAGAGAGGGACAAGTTAACATTTGGTAATAGATGGGTGCGGCATCACGCCAAGCGTCGTCTTATTCTTCCCTCTATTTCCGAGTTTCTCATGCAACTTTTCTCTTTTTCCGATTCTGCCCTCTCACTTTTTTTTTTTTTTTTCTGGATAACTTAAGCTAAATAATATTCTTTTTCTACTACCAACCACCGATAACTTTATTTATTTTCAGCAATTAATTCTGCCACCTTTCTCAGACCCATGCCACGAAATAAGAATCCCAACCAAGGTATTAATGGACCAACACAACTGAACTAAACTGAACCACGGGACACAAGTATCATAACAAATGATAAATCATGATAAACTAACACAAGAAATTGAAAATTTAATATTCACCAAATAGTTAAAGTTAAAACACTACCTATATGAAGAAATTGCGAGATACTGGTGTCGTTTAAGAATTCTTTGACCCTCAAGTTTTGGTCAAGCTTGGTGTGCAATGTGTGTACAGTGGTGTGAAATTGTTGAGTGCATACGTTGTAGGAAGGGTTCATATAGTAGTACGAAGGATTCTTGTTTAATTAGGAATTGTAAACATGCGTGTTTGAATTTAACCCTAAAATCAAGAGGAAACCTTAGTTAGCTTAGTCGGTTGATTGTTCTCCATCCTTCCCAAATGTAAGTGGATTTGATCCGAAATAGTTAAGTTTCAAGTGACTTATAGGAATTATAGGAAGATTTATCTAGTAAAAGTAAGTGATTTATAAAACTAACCAAATGCAAAACAAAGTATATAGAAATATTGGGAAACTAGTAAGCATGCCGTATTATACACATATTACTAAACACAAAAGGAAAGCCCTAAATATTACGAAATATAGTTTGGCCACGTTTTGATGTATGCCTAATAAAAAATGGAACATTTGGTAAATACTAAGTAAACACATAATAACACATAATGCCTTTTATTTTTTATTTTTTATTGTTGTTGTGCAATACGTGGTCATTTTTCTAGGACTATGACAAAGGATACTATTTTACATAGAATGAGTTCATTGTCATTGTGAGTCGATGACGTTTTGATTTGGTAATACAATATTATGTACAAATTTTTTTACATAACATTGCATTATTGGGCCAAAAAGCCAAATGACGAGATTAATTGTTCATGTAGATAGGTTTAGAGGTGCTTTTAGAATAACTGAAAGCGCTTTTGGTGAAAATGTTTTTGTGTTACAAGAGCACTTGATGCATTTTGGAAGAAGCAACAATTACGTTCTACTTGTTAAAGTTTCAAAGACACAGGATGAATGGTCTAACACCAATATTTTTCCAACTTAACCACGTATAAAGAGATATGTGTAGTTTTATCCTAAAAAGTCTTGGGTAATTAGAATGAGACTGTTTGTATATAAATTGTAATTTGTTTTGTCAAATCTCTAATGTGGGATTTCTAACACTTCTTGCAAGAAGCACTTCAAGTATTTTTCTAAGACTCACTTGTACGTTTATTAAGTATTGTTTCTGAAAGTACTTTCATTAAAATGCTTTTAAATATTTTAAAAAACACTTGTAAAATAAAAATAAAAGAATATCACAAGGCTTCAAAACCCAAAAAAAAACAAAACAAAAGAAAAGGGCAGGGGCCAACCAAGTAATTTGAACTAAGATTTGATCTGGCAATTGTAACGACGACCTTTGACGTACTTCTGTGTGCATTTGTTTCGTGGGGTAGGAATGAGATGAGAGCACGCCAGGTCAAATCTATGCTGCTGATTCCCGAAGCCAAATTAGGCCAAACCCCAACCGCGTGGATTCAACGTAAGCCTTCAAAGTTCAGGCCCTTAACTTGTAACATTAGTGAAGAAAGCGACATCGTTTACAGCTTGCCATCCCATGTCTCTTCGCTAATTATTTACTCGGCCAAAACCAAGAACCAACCGCATTCTCTGTTTGTTTGTTGCTATGACAACAGCGGCTCCAGAATGAAGGGTAGTTTAGTCTTTTAATGTTATTTTAGCTGTTGGCCCTCGTGAACTGACACCTCTCATTTACTTCTGCAACGGGCGACTGGACTCTTAGGATTTTTTATTCCTTTCTTTACCACTTTTAATCTCTTTCGTTTTTTTACTTTTTCTTTCTTTTGTTTGTCATATTTTGGCTCTTGGTTTCTATTTTTCAAAAACATTATTTTTGGTTTTTTTTATTATTAAATATTAATTGTGGCTATATTCACTTAACATTATCTATACTTAGATTATCTCCAACTTTTCAGTTAAAACTTAAAATTTGTAACCCATAAATTTTAGATTTTTACTTAGAAATAGTTTTTCTACTTCAATCCTTATGAATTAAATTTTTAGCTCGATATTATTAAAAAATGAATTTACGTTAATTTTTTTCCTTAAAGTATGACACGCCCAACTCTGATATTCTCCCAAACACCAGGGTAGGCACGTGATGATCGACACCCGAAGGTGATGAAGCCATATTAGAATGCATGAGAACAAAAAATAAATAAGACTTATAAATTTAAATATAATTAATATGCAAATGAGGAACGTGTTCAGAGCATATAACTAATTCTATACACTAGAAAAGAAATGATATAAAATTGAATGAACAAAGGAGTGAGTCCTACATCGAGAGAACTCGAAATGCCGATGCGGAAGTGCTTTGACGCCAAGATCATACGCCTTGAATCTAAATCCTGAGGGGCTGCAAAACAAACATGAGTTGACCAAGTTGATATATATATAAGTAGTACAACATAGTTATTCAACAACGTATTAACCCCAAAGTTTTATGAAAACTAATAGCATAATATGTGATAGATTTGCCGAAAACCCTAGCATGCCATAAAACCTGTCATAAAACAAATATCATATATGGTGTGTACTAACTAGTGGAATTAGTATCGCCCGAAGGCATATAGAACTCTTCCTTAAAAAACTTCCTTCACAAGTATCAATTGCCCGTAGGCTCCTACAACACCCAACTTGAAGGTTAATATAAGTATCATCGCCCGAAGTCTCCTACAACACCCAACCCGAAGGTCAATATGTAACCACTAGATACGCACAAAACCATTGAACATAGACTTTCCAACCATAGGTACATATATATCTCAAAAACATCTTCATAATATAAAGTCATCCATCATCTATACTATAAAGAAGAGTGCAAAAGCATGTTCATAATTATACTTAATTTCAAATATTTATATTTCAAGTCAAGCATGTTAGATTTGTGGAAATGCTTTCGGAATTATTAATATAGTGATATGTGGATATTTGGAATTGTTCATGGAGCTGAAAACTTTAGTGTTGCATTACTTCGAGGAATAAATGTAAACTGCACACGGGGACATTAGGGCAAAATATCCAATAGGAGTCATGTGGTCAGTTACTGTCACATCTCGGTCCGAGCCCCCACCACATACCTGGCTCGACTTCACCGTAGCACGATATTGTCTGCTTTGGGCCCCTACCACACCCTCACGGTTTTGTTTCTGGGAACTCGCACGAAAACTTCTCAATAGGTCACCCATCATGGGATTGCTCTCGCGTGCTATTCGCTTAACTTCGGAGTTCTGACGAAACCCGAAGGCAGTGAGCTCCCAAAAGGCACCGTGCTAAGTAGAGATGAGAATATACATATAAGGCTTAGAGGATCTATTCCCCTGGGAGATGTGGGATGTTACAATCCACCCCCTTTAGGGCCCGACGTCCTTGTCAGCACACCATGGCCAGGGTTAGGCTCTGATACCAAATTGTGACATCGGCCCGGGCCCCCACCACATCCCAGCCTCAACTCCACCGTAGCACGATATTGTTCATTTTGGGCCCCTACCACACCCTTACGGTTTTGTTTCTGGGAACTCACACGAGAACTTTCCAGTGGGTTACTCATCATAGGATTGCTCTCGCGCTCTATTTGCTTAACTTCAGAGTTCTGACGGAAACCGAAGTCAGTGAGCTCCCAAAAGGTCTCGTGCTAAGTAGAGATGGGAATATACATATAAGGCTTAGAGGATCCACTCCCCTGGGCGATGTGGGATGTTATAGTTACTATTTATGAAGGATATAATGAACACGTAAAGGGATGATGTGATATGGCACTACGTGCTTGATGATTTGATACTATTATTGTATTTTCTATAGTGACTAAAATGGCATCGCTTGACTGGCATATTACATATTCTACTCACTGAGCGACGGTGGTTGTTACTCACCCCTCACCTTTTTATTATTTGACAAGATAAGTGCTAGACGAGCTGAGTTTGGGTTAGACAAGAGATTTAAGAGTTTTCTTATTTTTGTACACTTTGTAAGGATTTTGTAATAGTTACTTGTTTAAGAGAAGTTATTGTTTTACCTTTTTAGTTTTACTTTAACTTTTACTCGCGCACCGGGCATGAAGTCCCATTGACTCCAGGTCCGGGGCATGATAAAGTAACTTTTTTTTCAAAAAATAAAAAAAATTATGTAAACTATCCTAATTAAATTGTATGAACATTTTAACAAAAAAATATTTAAATTTCAATAAATATTGAAAAATCGCTAAACCAACACCATGAGTTTCATGGAATACTATGAAATAATATGAAACACATGGAAGATATATATTTTTTTTTAATGTTTTAGTCGTTGGATTTAAAATTGGATCATTAGATTTTTTTTTTATCGTCAAATTTAATTATAATATATCTTAGATGTTGAACTCAATAAATTTATAAATATAAAACTAAAAGTACACATATATGGTGAGCCAACCCACTAACCCAGGGTGAAATTATGGGCTAAATTTGCCCCAAAATGAGTTTTGGGTTAAAAATCATATTTGGCTCAAGAGCTGGAGCAAGTTGGAGTATGTTTATAACTTAAATTTTTAGTTTTACTCCAAATGTTGGAGTGGGTCTTAGAGCATGTTTGAAAGTGCATTTAAAATGATTGAAAGACCGTTTATTGAATATGTTTTTGAGTTCTAAAAGCATCTAAAGTGCATTTTAGAAGAAACACAAACTGATGTTTTTTCTAGGAAATACATTAAGTATTTTTTTCAA